ATAGATGATATACTTTTATGTTTACAAATTATACTAAAAAAACCTACAAACTAAATATCATCAGAAATGGAATTGTCATTCTGAGAATTTTAAGTTTCTCCAAAGCAAGGTACTAAAAAAAACTACAAACTAAATAAATCCATCAGAAATGGGAATTGTCATTCTGAGAATTTTAAGTTTCTCCAAAGCAAAGCACTAAAAAAAAAAGAAGAAAGCATAACACTAGATCATTGTTTGTCGTTCTTGAATATGATCTATATTCAGAAATACTAGGTGATAGAGCCTGAAGGTCTGGATTTTGGTAGATGATTTTTTTTTAACGCGATGTAGACTAAACCTCTTAGTTTCCTCCAGTATTGTCGTATGTTTTTTATCACATTTTTTAGTTTCTAATCACATATAAAAGGTAAAATTTGATTAACCTTTTGAAATATAACGTGAACTCATCGCCGGCTTTCAGGCAAAAACCAAGGCATATGACCTAATCTATAGCATAATCACTTAATGAAAGCTAAAATGATCGGATGATAAGCTGGTAACTGATCCAGCATGCTCCTACTGTTTGATTTCATAATGGCGCATAAAGGGCTATGACTAACGTCACATGTCAATTGATGACGTTATTGCAAAGCAAAATTTTGAATGGCTGGGTATATTGATTCAGTTTCCCAGTCTTAAGAGTCTTCTGGAAGAATGCCGTTATCTATCGCCAATAAAATACATTGATGTTTTCATTTTTTCTCCTCGTTGCAAGGTTTTTTAATTAAAGTTGCTTTACAATCGGGTCTGTATTAGCTAATGACTACGAAAATACAGCGCATAAATGAACAGGATGTTTTGAAATAAGCCGATTCTTAATAATGAACTCATACACTTCTCTTGTAGTATGGGAATAATTGGCAGTACGGATCCGCAATAGTGCGTAACAAAACCATAACGCCTACTAAAACGGCCTTTCGTGAAAAATAAGTACTTCATTTTTCCRAACCACACAAACGTACGTATTCTCTATAAAACGTTTACTTGCTACGGTTACGACTTTACGTACGTATGGAGACTGAAAGTATGAATTAGTGGATGAAAGTTACTGCGTTTCGTTTGTGCGGATTGGCTTATACTTTTTAGCACAACTGCCTATAAAACCACTAAAGCTGCTTACGGAATACATGTGCAATACACAACAACGTTACGTACCGAGCCGTATTAAAAAAACGGTACGTAACAGCACCTTAATGCCTTTGGCTATGCTGTAATTTTTCACTCAAGCGAGATTCGCTCTATTTTTCAATATATTTTTTCATACATTAACCATGAAATTTCAAACTAATAACACTTCACTTTTTTCAGGGAATACAATTTTTAATCATATTGGTTGTAGTCATTGTGTTTGTGTGGACTTTTAAATGAAAGCTTGTCGGTTATAATTGCTCATTGCTTGGATTTGCTTGATGGTATAATTGAAAAATCAACAACTTAACTGTGTCTGGAGAATTAGAGGTGGAACATCAATAAAATGTGACATTTGAATATGTCTGCTTTTGAACTAAAATGGTTTTGTTGCCAAGAGACATAGATGGATGAGTTTTAGAATGTTATTTGATTTGCCTACTGGTGTCATCAAACACGAGCCTTCAATTTTCGACAATGTCCAACTTATTCATGAGATATTGCACTTTCATRAAATAGTCGTTTGGAACCAATGTTGTCGTGCACTGCTCGCTATGGTTTATGGGTAGAAACTATAAAACATCAAAATAAGAAACATGATCCAGGACAAGATATTGATAATCTGGTTTTATGTTGTATGGCATTCCATGATTATCATTCTTAATCTATTTATTTATTTACCGATTTTAATTACAGCTGTTAGTTACTTGATATATAATAGAATTTATTGATACATCTGCTGTATAGGTTACAGTTATTCATTTCTCATTAATCATATTATTAAACATTTCTCATTATTAAATCTTTACCATTTTGAATATCAGATTTTAACCTCGTTTGGGGCAACCTCGTCCCCATGCCCTTGGGTTCCCAAGCGAAGAGATAAGGGCCTGGAAACAAGGTCTTGACGTAGCAGATAAATATATCTTCAATAACTGTTGTGTTTGATTATAAAATTTGTAGTGCAGTAAACATGTGAGTACAGAATAGGAAATTGAAGATTACTCACTTATTAGTATCAATAGTTCACTCATCCAACATGGCCGCCGGTCTTTTATCTTTTGAATCTCACGAGAACGATTAAAAACGATAAATAGTGTTGTGAAAATCTTTGTCTATCAGTTTGAAAAACTCGCTTTCTACCATTGAGTCTTGTGATTATCACTAGCTATTGAAAATTGGTGGAGTGGAGCTTAATTGCGTCCGGCCGTTATATGCATTGTTRTCATGGTTACATGCAGTATTATCATGACTCATTTCATGGTTATCCATCGCTCCATCGTTACGCACCTGCAAAATATCCAAAATCAAAATAATTAAGTWTAGTGGTTTGGCRTCSTCGAGAAGCCAGAGGCMCMAACTCAACAGCCCCTGAGTTCCTGAGGATGTTTGCTTGGCTCATTGCAAGCTTGATATTTCCAGTAAGTTTCTTGGTAATGATATTGTTTACCTTGGCTGAATGTGGCTTCCATCTACAAATTAAGGACATGTAGACTGGTAAAAAACACAGACCGTGTAGAAGACCAAGCACCACGATACCCAAGAACATCTTGAAGAAGATACGAAAWATCTCTGATTTTGCAAAGGCTAAGACGATCATACCAAGAAACGTGCTAATTCCTACAAAAAAAAAATATCAAAAACATGAAAAAAGAGTCGATCAGACTTTTAAAAAGTATTTTTAAAACCGTCACACATGCTCCATCAACGTGCACAAATTTCCAATGTGGATTTGTAAGACACTTTTTGACATGCTATGATTATGTAAAAATAGATTTTCTTACTTTTTGAATATCATTGAAATCATTGCCTGTAACGGAAGCTATGTTGTCTAATTGAGTGAAAACACTTAATCCATGAAGCTTGAATGGTGCAAAATAGTACTAAACTATGCTAATTCCTTTGTTTTTAATTGTCTTATCAACACTATTTAGTAGTAATAAGTACTATTTGTTTCACGGATTTAGTACGTTAACTCTAATTAATCTCTCATCAAATATAACAACTACCTCCCATGACCACGCTTGCTCCTAAGGTGGATAGCGCATGCTCTACACGGCCTTCCGCTGTACTCTCCGATGATGTTGCAAAGGCATGAGCAATGTGTGCACTGTAGTCCACAGAAAACCCGATAGCCATRACAAGGTTTATCATAGAAACGGAGTTGAGAGTTACATCCCAAATGAACATCAAAGCAAATAGCTCAACTACCAATGCCACAAAACCAAGAAAAACCAGTAGAGTTACAGTAAAGCTTAGAAGAAATGGCCATGTTATCACCAATACTGCAAGTCCTGCGATGATCAAGTTTCTAAACGTTTCCTCGCCAATAATTACGTATTGTTCAAAATAGATAAAGTTCTTGTTGATAGGAAACACATTCAATTTTGATTTGTCTTTGAGGTCTTTTCGTATCGATATCATTAAATCCTTTTGTACGTTTGAGTTTGTAGTTGGTTTTGTAACAGATGAGAGGCGAGAAGTCTCGATGCTTTTACCATCAGATGAAAATTTGATATCTTCCTTGAAATGGGAGTACGCAGGTTGATTTAGAAAGACATTCAATGAACTGAGGAAGAAACTCTCTGTAGTATTTAATCGTGCAGTTTGTGCAAACGCRTGGAAAGACTTCATCCATGAAATGGTCGAATTTTGAAAAAACTTGTTCTCAGCAACAATGTTTGACAGTTTTACAACTTCATCCTGTATTTCTTTYGTCTCGTACTTTTGATTGCCTTCAATAATTATCTGGACCGGGATTCCTGTCTCATAGTGTTTTTCTTGCATAGCAATAAAGAGCTTGAAGTAGGAACCATCTTTGGCAAGAACTTTTCGATCAAAACGTTCGCTGATGTGTAAGGTACCATATATCCCTGCAGCTAAGAGCCCCATCGAAAGAAGCACTACTACTACCCTCACTGGTATCTTCATCAAAAAACGTGACCAGAGTTTCATAATCTTATTGGATGATTGAGGCTGTGGTTCGTCCCATTCTGGGTCTCCAACTTTAGGTGCAGGAGCGAAGCAGATTGGCGTACAATCTCGGCGGTTATTTTTGATTCTTCGAATATCAAACGTCATAAAAGCAACAAATAACGTCACAATCCACAAATAGGAAAAAGTGATGGAAATGGCTGCGTAGGCACAAAAGTACTTGACAGAAGGGAACTCTGTACTAGTGCTGACAGCAAAAGCTACAAGATCGGTAACCGTTGTCATTGTAACTGTTGCTCCGCTGTTCGCCATGACCGTTTTCACTGTCTCGACTACCGTCATCTTGTTATCCATTCGATCCATCTCGTCCACAATTATAAACATATCATCAATTCCAATACCAAGTATTAGAAAAGGAAGGACACCGACAATACTGACAAATGGAAAACCAGTGTACAGAGTAAGTCCAAACCCTGAGAGAATCCCTAGGGCAACAGCAAGAATACCAGAGTTAGCAAGGAGAGAATGACCTATCAATGGATTTCGAAACTTTCCGAGCATCACACAACAAAAGGTTATCATAAGGGTGAATGTGACGGAAATAAGAGCGATGTCACTACTGCTGCTCTCTGCAATGGCATCATCAAGACTGCGCTCTGCTGAATAAAAAAGATCAGAACAGGACATTTTGCTTTTTAAAGAATTGAGTTTTTCGATGAACTTCTTTTCCCATTCCATAACCTTCTCGTTCTCTGTTTCATCTTTTGTTGGGTTCCGCATCAAGTAACTCACTTGAATTGTCTCTGCACTTTCAATAAACCTTGTTTTGTTCATCTTTATATTGCTAAGCATTTGACTGAATGAAAATCTTGCGGGTTTGTTGTTCTGTAGCGTTAAGGTAATGTCATTGTATGCCTTGGTTAGCTTTTCTGAAATATCCACTAAGTTGCTTGTGGTGTAGTTGAAGATCTCAAGAGGATTAGTGATGATACATGACCTCCAATTTGCGGCGCTTCCACCTCGTGGCTGGCAATACTTCACGTAGTCTTTCATTGATGTGATTTGCTCATGAAAATCAATGACATCTTGAAGACAGTTTTTTCTAAGAACATTGCCACCATCTTGTGGAATGAAGATAACAAACTCTTGCTTAGCATTCAAGGACTTGAAGTTTTTCTCAGCTTTATCCAAGTCTTTCATTGCTTGGCTGTCTTGAGGCACGAAGAGTTTATGAGTTCGTATTTCTGAGTTGAATCTATAAAATCCCCCGCTGCAAGCACCAATGATACACAAGCACAGGAATATTGTAACCCAAGGGTGATTGGCAATGCAACGACCTAGTCCACCAAAAACTCTCTTGAATATGCCATGGAAACAGCGATTACAAGACGCCCAAGAATGGCAACACTTCGTGCAGCAACTAAGAGGCATAAAAAAGAAATATTAGAGATTTTTCCATAATCCCGTGAAACAATTGATTGCTTACACTTTATTAGTCAGCTATGAAGAATGATAATCAAAGAGCTACTGATTTTTATTCACGGCAAAAAATCCCTGTCTTTCAATTCAGACTCTCTAAATTGTAGCCTCTAACCAAACAACACAAAAGCGATGTATATTTTTAAACTGGTAGCATACTCTTTATATGCGTCTTACACGAAAACAATCGTTTTCTTTTCAAAAATGTCCATTGTGTAAACGATAGAGAGCATGGAGAAATTTGGGGTTTTGAAAATAACGACATTGGGAGAAAACCAGCCTAAACATCTAAACTTACTTGACACAAGTCACTGCTAGAAAGTTTGTATGACAATAACACTGTAGTTACCTGTTACCATTTGTCTTTGCCATTATTTTGACTGTCTTTACTGTGTTTCTCCTATAAGGAGTGTAAATGTTATGAGACTAACATTACCAAATTAATATTCATGAACATTTTCTAGTACGTCAGTCACTAGGTTACCGTTAAGTTACATCTGCGTTCTTGCATTAATAGAACTAATAATTTTGACATAATTTTGATTAGATGTAAAATATGACATCCGTTTCGTACACATCACGTTTCGGTTAGCTGTTTTACGTCTCATGGGATTCCAATACAGTTATCTCGAATATAACTGAAGTTACTATTTTATAGTTTTTCTACACTGTCTTGCTTAGAGTTATGTACCTTAACTAAGCCAAAGTCTAGTTACAGCTTGTGACTCTTTAGTTATCACTTCCGTCTAATCCCTCTTATTAACTTCGACTTCGAATATTCCATTAAGCTGTCGGATAAGAACCATAAGTTTGACAGTATAACGAGACCACAAGGCACCTTATTTTAGTTTCCACTTCAGATAGACTCCTCCCTTGTAACCTTCCACCTCAATGCATAAACTAAAACGCCCTTCGTTGGTTTAAAGCCTTGTAGCACCGCTTATTCTAAATATCTTTATAGTATAACTTGATGGAAAGTTAGTTCTCTATTAGAGCTATCTTCTGTCTTAGTTTCATCTTTAAATTTAGCCTAAAACTATCTCGGGGCATAGCCTTTTCGCTCTCAGCCCGGCTGAACATCTTATTAGTAAATCAAACTTTATTACGTCAAGTTAATTTCTATCCAATCATACTGCAATACAGCCTGCCAATTTGCTGTCATCCTACTTTGTAAAACATTCACTATACAGGCAGATTGACATCTTGTACAGGTTAGTTGGTATCTAAACTCAGCGTGTAAACCATCCTCTGAAGTTCAGCATTAAAAACATTTTGATCCATTTGAGTAAATTTCGACGAGCAAAATGACTAATTTATTCGCAGATTATCAGTTAAAAACTTGACTGAGCTATGAAACTAGTACTCTGAATAAGATGGTTTTCTAAAGGCACGTTTACACTTGCGATTTTTGCAGCGCGATTGTCGCGCGACAATCGCCACTTTGTTCTCGTGCACCTCAATTTGTACGTGTAAACAGCCTTGCGATTGTCGCGGCGATCAAAAATCGCCGTGAGTTGCAGCTAAATTTCAAGCATGTTCGAAACTCAGCCGATTGTCGCGCGACAATCGTGCTTCAAAAATTACAAGTGTAAACGGGCCTTTAAACTTATTCCCTCTCGATCCAGCATCTTAAAATAGCTCACAAAAACACTGCAAGATTGTTTGTTGGATTACCCGACTAGTTGTGAATGAAAATGCTCATAAACATAAGGGCGAAGTGTGGTCTTGACGACTATTTTATATATCATATGAGATCAGAAAAAAATATAATAATATAATAAAAACAAGAAAGACAGCATACGTGAAAGTCGAATAGAGACAATTGTCAAGTGAAGAATTCGATGAAGTGGAGCGAGAAAAAGAAAAAAACATCTTACTAAGGTCAACACATGTTATTTTCTTACCTTGTTCACGTTAAATAGTCGAGATCGAAGATCTTGGATATAATAAATGCTGGAAATATAAACTATGACGAGCAGCAGAGCACACAATAACCGAAATATTATAGCACGTTTTTGATGACGGAACTTAGCGATGGTCACGAACTGAATCCAAGTCATTGAAGGTCAGCGGTGGTTTGCACTTGAGTGGCGAATAATACAGTAAACACCTGAAAATAAGAACCTTGTTTCTTTTACACACACCACTAAATTGCGTCAGTAAATTTTGGTTTGTTTATCCTGTAATTTAGCTTTAACCCATATTATAAGAACCTGCAGCTGCTTATAATAGAGAACTTAAGCATCAACAAATTTTTGAGGCGCCAACGTCAATCGGTAGTGGAATTTTACTTCCGTTTTGCGCCAAAATTTTGGCGCGCCTCGAAGTGCGTACGCGCGGACGTGAGAAAGGCAGATTTCACGTCCGCGTGTACGTGCACTTCGAAGCGCGCCACTTCCGATTGACGTCGGCGCCTCAAAAGTTGTTGATGCTTACGTTCTCTAATGTTTGGCTAAAGAAGTTCTTATTTAAGGGGTTAKTACACGTTCCCTGCTATGCAGGGGACGTGTAGTAAAATGCTGTCACTTTCTTGGTTTGTCGTCTTGTTTTTTCACAATGTCGAAAGTAGCAAATCACATTCTGAATTATTTATCCGGTAGCCAATCACATTACGTTGTGTATTCCGAACGCTATAGGCTACCCATAATCCCTTTCGCTCACATTTTCAACCCGTGCTGCACACTGTTTCACTCGCCATTTTGATGAGTATTCTTCTACTAGCGAATATGCGACAGAACATGAAGGTTTACGACCAAAATCTGGCACTCATTACTCGTCTGGGTGTTMGGAYYARGGKTATGTTGAATTATGATGACGAGGAGATCTCAAATACAGAGATCAACACGCTTACTATTCGTGATGCAACGGCAGCTGCTGTGAACCCTTCTAGTTGTATATTTTATATTCTCTACTCGCTTATTATGATTAAATATCAACACAACTCTTTAGATAGATGTTGAATTTTTTTATGTAGATATGTATAAATATTGTGTTACCATCATAACAGAAAGTTAATAAAGCGTCACGTAACCCGGCTCGTGCCTTATATATCTGACCTTAAAATGATACTGAAGAATCACTAAGGCGGATATATTTGAAATTTCAAGAGCCACCATCGTAAAAATCACATATATCTTGGCAAGGCTCGAAGGATTAAATCATTTTACTAATGATCTCACAATATCATGTACAACACAGGGCACGTGTCAACCCTGCATACAGGGTCTATAGTTAAAATGGTTTCTGCCAAGTAGGTTCTTAATCCGTGACTTGTAACTTGTTTGCGTGATAATAGTGCGAAGCATCTTATGAAGAAAATGTGCAAAAAATTGATACACGGCGAGATTTGTAAAAACTAGATAAACTTGAGAGAGAGAATATTAATTGGTCCAAATGTTCACTTTTTCTTAGCATATATTCTCATTGTAAACATGCTGTGGCGTCATTAGCGCTAATCGCATGACCCCCAAAACTATTTACAAAATCACAATAACATTAGTCACGACGTTGTTATTCACGTCCCAAACCAGCATATGTAAGTTTTTAGTCACTTCCCCAGGAAGTTTAAAGCACGTTTTAAACCTTATATATCACTGGTCTATAGTTGTAAAAATTATTCTCTGAAGAAGTCTCCGTTAAGAGACGAAACGCGTAGGAAAATAAAAAAAGTTTTCAACTATTCTAGTTCTCTCACTAGTCTTAGTTAAAAAAAAAAAAAAAATCGAGTCAGTCAAATACATAATTTTTACGTAAAACAAAACAAATCTTTAAATAGTAAGTTTTGCTTCTTCTACGTAAGTTTTAATTTTCCGAGCTTTCGGACAACTTTTGCGCGCTCTTTAGCAGTTATGTTACCATAGTGTTTTGTTTACATTTGTATCCTCGCACCTACGCATTGTAATTTCATTTTGCCCTGATGATGGACAAGTTGTCCGAAAGCTCGGAAAATTAAAACTTAGGCGTAGAAGAAGCAAAACTTAGTATTTAAACAATGAATCCTACGTACGATAACATTTTAACAAAACAAATCTTATAAATTTTTGTATCAATACTTAAACCCTTCTACAATTATAGAGATTTTTATATACTTTTAAGCTATTTCAATTTTTTTTAAACCAATGTATTGCGTATTGCTTCTTCATTTTTCAAGTTGCTGCTCCAACTGAGCAGTATATAGTGGTATTCTATCACGTAACTTCGTATTTACTATGCGCATTTTATTTTATAGAAGTATTAAATATTATTATTAAATATTATAATTCACCGAGACATAGGAGTGTGAAAGGCGACTTTAAGAGTGTTTTCAAAGCCGTATATTACTCTATAATTTCACTCTGTTGTGTATATTTTACTGTTATACTTTGACTATTAGATTTTGTTCAACGGGTTAATTGAAACCACCCCATGCATTAAAAGAGTTCTTTAAATTATTTAAGAATTATATACTATACTTTCATCACTTTTATCACAAACGTAAAGTCTTGTTACACGTGCCCTACTATGCAGGGGACGWGTAGTAAAATGCTGTTACTTTCTTGTTTGGTTTTTGTTTTTGTTTTTTTCATCAATGTCGAAAGTTTGCCTTCGGTACATCATCGTAGCCAATCACATTGTGAATTTTATATTCAGTAGCCAATCACATTACGTTGTGTATTCCGAACGCTATAGCCTGTCCATAATCCCTTTTGCTCCATTTTCAACTCGTTCTGCACAGTGTTTTATCCGCCATTTTGATGAATATTGTCTCTACTAACGAATAGAGCGAATTTCGTATGACTGTGCRAAGGCACGAGTCACAACACGGACRCAGCACGGCACGGTCACGGAACCTCGCCTTCTAGGATTCCAAATAAAAATAAAGATTTGGCAATGCATCACCGCTACGGCACGGTACRGTCACAGCGCGAAAGTGCCGTGTTTTTTGCATAGTCATACGAAATCCGGTCTATGGGACAGAACATGAAGGTTTACGACCAAAATCTGGCACTCATTACTTGTCTGGGTGTTCTGACCAAGGGTATGTTGAATTATGATGACGAGGAGATCTCAAATACAGAGATCAACACGCCTACTACTCGTGAAGCAACGGCAACGATTATTAAAATGATTGAATATCAATACAACTCTTTAGAAATGCTTATTAATTTCATGGCTATTCAAACATCTGCAATGGATATGTCAAGTTTTAATGCAGATGTGTAAAAATATTACCATCATAACAAAAAGTTAATAAAGCGTCACGTTGTAACCAACTCGTGCCTAGAAGTTATATATCTGACCTTAAAATTATACTGAAGAATCACAAAGGCGGGTACAGCTGAAATTTTAAGAGCCACCACATATAAGTTTATCGCAATAATCACGTATTCTATCTTGGCAAGGGTCGAAGGATCAAATCATTTTGTTTATTTTGTATACTAATGATTTCAGAACATCATGTACAACAAAGGGTACGTGTCAACCCTGTATACAGGGTCTAGTTAGCTATTACAGGGACCGTGGAGCGGGAATTTGTTTGGGAGCGGGGGGGAGCTAGCGGCTGGGATACTAGGGGGAATCCGGGGGTATTACCCCCCGGAAAATTTTGAAATCTTAACTCTCGGAAATGTCATTTCCAGCGTTTTGAGGCGTTGTCCAAGACATATTTCTGACCGCTAAAACCGCACACACGGTCACACGATATTCAATAAAATCCCAAAGACTTCGTCATGTTCTTAATTCATGAAATAAACATCAATGACTTTTGATAATTCAGGCTGATATTTTTTTAATTCAAATGGTATCTACACAACATATCGGCCGAAATAACTTATATTTCAACTAATGGACTGCGCAATATTTATCAGGAGGGAGGAGGGGGCGGGGGGGGGGGGGTCCCGAGGAGGGCGATAACTAAAAATAATAAATTCACGGGAGGGGGGGTTGGGGGGGGAGTTAATGCACTTAAAGTTGACGTATTTTTTTCGTTCTGGTTGATGTGACTTGTAACTTGTTCGTGTGATAGCGTGATGCATCTTAAATCATTTCCGCGACCGCCAGTCATGAAGGGTACTTAAACACGAATCACGTGCGCTCTGTATGGATGTCCCTTCGCAATGGAATGTGGTAGAGCCTTGAAAGTGGTAAGTGCATTTCTAGATCTTTACTAAAAGTTCTTATAGTTTTCTTCGTATCAGTCTATTTATATCACATTTACAATCTTTCACGATCACAAGGATAGATTTTTAAATTGTTACTCACTCTAAATAGTTCACTGTGAATGATGTGCAGTTTTTTGATTGATACGATGCATGGCTCGTTGGTAGAAATTCACTGCGGTATTTCTTCTAAACGATTTGCAGTTTCAAATTGATTGCTTATGATATTTTACTGAAGACATTTCATGTTCTCGGTTTTCGCACGTCTCAAGCTTGTTAAAGGGACATGGTCCACTAGCATGCAATGCGGTCGTGTTTTAGATTTTTCATATATGGAATGAGGTGACTTCGAATATCCATTCGCAATCCGTTTCCATCCATCGGATAAAGGTCGAATCTTAAAGCATCYCCATTCATATAGTATAAAGGAATAATAAAGAGTAAGTTTTTGCTTATATTACGATGTATTTCTATTTTCAAACATAAGCAAAAGCTCGAAAGGGATGCTGGTGGACCATGTCCCTTTARGGCCTGGGATTTCGAGAATTTAATTAAAAAAATAATTTCTTGMTTGCATTTTCAACTACAAAGTTAAAATTTGTTCCAGAAATCATATTTCGCCTGATCAATGGTTTGGTGGTGAAAATTGTGAAGTGGTCACGTGACTGTTAAGACGAAAAAATAGAAATTTAAAAATGGGCCGGTTAGAACTATTTTGTAGAATATCAAAAAGTATGTAAAAAGATTGCAATTACAAAGGTCTTTCGAAGTCCGTCTCGTTTGGTTGTCCGTCGTACAATGTAGGTAGCCTGTGTAGCCAGGCGTTCCTAGCCGCTCCGAGAGAGTTTGGGCCGGGCCAATGCGACCAGATACTGCTGTTAGATGGTAAATACTTAACTTAATATAAAAATTAGGTAAAACCTAATAGCGGAGCTCCCAAAAGATATGCAATGCATGTTGGATAAAAATGGGATGCACAACACATTTGTCAGACTACATGTGTTTTGTTAAGACTATTTTATTTTGGCAAACGAAATACGTTCATGGCACTACATTAAATATTAAACT